ATTTGCATGGAATACCTTTTTCCATCCCCTCATTTTCAGTCTGTATGTGTCTCTAGATCTGAAGCGAGTCTCTTATAGACAGCATATATTTGAGTCTTAATTTTTGTACCCATTCAGCCAGTCTGTGTCTTTTGGCTGGAGCATTTAATCTGTTTACATTTAAGGTAATTATCAGTATGTATGTTCTTATTGTCATTTTGTTAATTGTTTTGCATTTGTTTTTATAGGTCTTCTTTCTTCCTTTCCTCTTTTTTTAAAATATTTTATTGAAGTATAGTTGATTTAAATGTTGTTAATTTCTGCTGTACAGCAAAGTTATTCAGTTATGCATTTATATATTCTTTTGCTTACTGTTTTCTATTATGGTTTATCACAGGATATTGAATATAGTTCCCAGTGCTATACAATAGGACCTTGTTCTTTATTTCCTTTCTTCTTTTGTGCTCTTCTCTTGTGATTTGATTATCTTTAGTGTTATGTTTGGTTATCTTATTTTTTGTATATATATATATATATATATATATATATATATATATATATAAAATAGGTTTGTGGTTCCATGAGGTTTCGATATAGCATTCTATACATATACATGATTATTTTAAGTTGCTGATCTCCTAATTTCAATGCATTCACATGTCTTGCATTTGTACTCTTCTTCTCTCATGATTACTAGTTTAGATATCCTATTTGTGTGTGGATGATTTCCTATCTTTACTGTATGCTTGCCTTTATGGGTGAGCGTTCCCATTTTGTAATTTTCTTGTTTCTAGTTGTGGTCTTTTCTTTTCCACCTAGAGAAGCTTCTTTAGAATTTGTTTTAAACCTGGTTTGGTGGTACTGAATTCTTTTAGCTTTTGCTTGTCCGTAAAGCTTTTGATTTCTCAGTCAAATCTGAACAAGAGCCTTGCTGGGTAGAGTATTCTTGGTTGTAGGTTTTCCCCTTTCATCACTTTAAATGTATTGTGCCACTCCCTTCTGGCCTGCAGAGTTTCTGCTGAAAAGTCAGCTCATAACCTTATGGGGATTCCCTTGTTGCTTTTAATATTTTCTCTTTATCTTTAATTTTGGTCAGTTTGATTACTATGTGTCTTGGTGTATTTATCCTTGAGTTAATCCTGTATGGGCCTCTGTGCTTCCTGGACTTGGGTGCTGTTTCCTTTCCCATATTAGGGAAGTTTTCAGTTGTTACCTCTTCAAATATTTTCTCAGTCCCTTATTCTCTCTCTTCTTCTGGGACCCCTATAATGCGAATGTTGGTGCATTTGACATTGTCCTAGAGGTCTCTTAAACTGTCCTCATTTCTTTTCATTCTTTTTTCTTTATTCTGTTCTGCGGCAGTGATTTCCACCACTCTGTCTTCCAGCTCACTTATCTGTTCTTCTGCCTCATTTATTCTGCTATTGACTCCTTCTAGTGTATTTTCCATTTTGGTTATTGTATTCTTCAATACAATATTGTATTCTTCTTGGTTGTTCTTTATATTTTCTAATTCTTTGTTAACACCTTCCTGTAACTTCTCACGCTGTGCATCCATTCTTTTCCTGAGCTCTTGGATCGTCTTTGTGATCATTACTCTGAACTCTTCCTGGTGTAGATTGCCTATCTCCGTGTCACTTAATTCTTCTTCTGGGGTTTTATCTTTTGCTTTCATCTGGAACCTCTTCCTCTGCTGTCTCATTTTGTCTAAATTTCTATTTCTGTTTTTATGTATGTGGAAGGTTGGTTATGTTTCTCAACCTTGGAGAAGTGGCCCTCTGTAAGGGATGCCCTTTGTGTCCCAGAAGTACACTCCCCTCTTGTCTTCCAAGGGCCAGGAACCAGCTGGTCCCAGGGTAGTTTCTGACTTGCATTTGTGGACTTAGTTCCACAGGCTGCCGGATCATTGTTTTCTTGTTTCTGGTGTCCACTCCCTGGTGGGTGAGGCTGTTGATGGACACTTGGATTGCTTCTGTATCTTGGCTATTGTAAATAGTGCTGCTGTGAATATTGGGGTGCGTGTATCTTTTTAAATTAGTGTTTTCATTTTTTCTGGATATATACCCAGGAGTAGAATTGCTGGATCATATGGTAGCTCTGCTTTTAGTTTTGTGATGAACCTTCATACTGTTTTCCATAGTGGCTGTACCAATTTACATTCCCACCAACAGTGTATAAGGGTTCCCTTTTCTCCACATCCTTGCCAACATTTGTGATTTTTAGACTTGATGATAACCATTCTGACAGATGTGAGGTGATATCTCGTTGTTTTGATTTGCATTTCTCTAATAATTAGTGATTTGAACATCTTTTCATGTGCCTGTTAGCCATTTGTATGTCTTCTTTGAAAAGATGTCTGTTCAGGTCTTCTGCCCATTTTTTGATTGGTTTGTTTGTTTTTGATATTGAACCGTGTGAACTGTTTGTATATTGTAGGTATTAACCCCTCGTTGGTAGCATCATTTGCAAATACTTTCTCTGATTCCGTAGGTTGTCTTTTCATTTTGTCAGTGGTTTCCTTTGCTATGCAAAAGCTTTTAAGTTTAATTAGGTCCCATTTGTTTATTTTTGCTCTTATTTCTTTTGCCTTAGGAGACTGATCCAAGAAAATATTGCTATAATTTATTTCAAAGAGTATTCCACCTCTGTTCTCTTCTAGGAATTTTATGGTTTCTGGTCTTACATTTAGCTCTTTAAACCATCTTGAATTTAATTTGTATGTGGTGTGAGGGAATGTTCTAATCTCATTGTTTTGCATGTGGCTACCCAATTTTCCCAGCACAACTTGTTGAAGAAACTGTCTTTTCTCCATTGTATATTCTTGACTCCTTTGTTGTAGATGAATTGACCATAGTGCACGGATTTATTTTGGGGCTCTCTGTTCTGTTCCATTGATTTATGTGTCTGTTTTTGTGTCAATACCATGATGTTTTGATTACTGTAGCTTTCTAGTATAGTCTGAAGTCTGGGAGGGTTATACTTCCAGCTTTGTTCTTTTTTCCTCAAGATTGCTTTGTGGCTCCATATGAATTTTATGATTATTTGTTCTAGTTCTGTGAAAAATGTCCAGGGTATTTTGATAGGAATTGCATTAAATCTGTAAATTGCTTTGGGTAGTATGGCCATTTTAACAATATTAATTCTTCCAATCCAAGGGCATGGGATATTGTTCCATTTCTTTGAATCGTCTTCATTTTCCTTCGTCAGTGTTTCATAGTTTTCAGGGTATTGGTCCTTCACCTCTTTGGTTAAATTTATTTCTAAGGGTTTTTCTTGCTGCTATTTTAAATGGGATTTTTTTTCTTTTTTACTTTCTCTTTCTGATATTTCATCATCACTGTATAGAAATGCAATAGATTTCTGTATATTAATTTTTTATCCTGCAACCTTGCCGAATTCATTTACTAGTTCTAATAGTTTTGGGGTGGAAACTTTAGGGATCTGTATAAAGAATATGCTTAATATTCTTATTAATATTTAATTAATAAAGATTTTGTTTCCAGTAACAATGTTGGAAATAAGGAAAAGAGAAATAACTCCAATGTCCATTAATATAGGAATTTTTAAGTAAAATATCTTACAGCTATATACATTGCTTTTAAACATAGCAAGGAAGATATATGAAGACTTTACTCTTTGGTCATTCTTATGCCCTGGAATCTTCACTACCTGGCATATTGTTAGTGCTCAAATATTTTTGGAATAAACATGTCCAGAAATACGTTGACAATTTACTATTAAATGAAAAAATACTTTGAAGAATAAAATGTAAAATATAATTCTATTTAATAAAAAAACCCAAAAACTACACACACACACACACACACACACACACACACACGTGTGTGTGTTTGTGTGTGTGTATTTTTTTCCAAATACTGACTTAGTTAATTAACTGTGTTAGGGAATAGGCCAACCTTTCATATATCTTTCCAATTTATATATTGATGTAATGGAACAAAGCTGGCAGGGAGGTTTTGCCATCCTCAGTGTGTGGGTTCAATTTCTGGACCTAAGACATTTACTCTGTCACTATTTCCAGCCAGTGGTAAAGGGAGAGAAAAAGAGAAGAGGGCAGAACAACTTCCTTAAGAAAATATGATCCAGAAGGTGCACACTTTACTTCTGCCAATGTCTCATGATTAAGACTTAGTCACACGGCCACATCTTGTTAGAGGAAAGGCTGGGAAAATGTGGGCAACTATGTATTCATCTAAAACCGCATGGGGGAATGGGGATGGGGCAGGCATCAAGTTTCTTTTTATAGAGAGAAGAAATGGAGGAAAGGGAGAGCAAATACTGGAGGACCATGAATAGTGTGCACAAAACTTTCTATACCATCATCTTTTCTTTCACCACTGAGTCATAATTTCACTTGTAACTTACAACAGTTTTAATACCAACTAGGATTTGTTTCTAAATTCTTTTATTGCATTGTTCACTCAAATCTTGTGTCCATTGCGCTGTTACTATTATTGTAGTTTACAATACAATGTACCAAATCAAACACCCCTCTTTTCACCTTTTCAAAATTTTCTTCCCAGGTCTTACCTTTTTATTGCAAGATTTTTCTATTGGAATATAAATGTTTTTCTTATTCATTTACAAAAATTATTTATACATTAATAAAAGTATTATTAATAATGATAGCTATCATTTTTTGAGGATCCACTATGTGCCAGGTACTCTCTTAAGGGCTTTATTTTTTGAATTCTTTTCGGTGAAAGTAGGTACTTCAATCATATCCCCATTTCATATACTAAGCAAGTGAGACCTAGAGAGGTAAAGTTAATTGCTCAACGTCACACAGCTGATAAGTGGAGGGGTCAACTGTCAAATCTGTGTGTTTGACACCAAAGTCCATGCTCTAACAGCTGCTCTGTATTAAGTGTCTGTCACATTCAATGCAAATAATTTTCCTGCTTTGTCATTTGCTTTCTAACTTTGCTATGACCTGTTGATGTTCATAAGTTTTAAATAATAATTTTATGTATTAATATTAATGTATTATTTTAATACAGTAGACCCACATACTGGCCGTCCCTGTATAGATTTTTTGGACAACACTCATAAGTGGAATAGAAGCTATACATTGAGCAGCATCTTACTTACCCTCCAGGTAAGAACAGATTAATATAATGCTGTCTTTAATACTTTTAATTACCCCAATTACTCAAAATATAACGAATAAAATGTACAATGCATAGTTAAATGTTTAAAGGATTTGAGTAAGCTTATATAAATCAATAACATTTCTACGTCAAGACTGTAAAATGGAACTTGAATTATAAAGACAATTATTTTTAAAGTGAAATCGATAGATTAGGCCCTTCCCAGCCAAAGAATATGTATTTTATAAAAGAAGAAAAGAACTGTTTGGATGGTTTCAACACTGGAAATACAGTCTTAGGTTTGCTTTTGGCTCCTAACTTCACTTTATAATGTTGAACAGGCCTTTTGGATCTTTCCGCATTCATGAACCTTGCCTTCCTCCGAGAGGTGAATCAAGTGACTACAACGTAAAATGTTCAGCTTTATCCTTTGTTTCTGACAGTACTAGAGACCTGCTTTTATAAGCTTTCATATCAAACCCAGTGAACAATTAAACCAGGAATTTCCTCCTCTCCTCGGTAGATGCCTGTTTCTAGAATGCACCCTTCACCTCCTAGATCCATGGTCTTTAGAAGCATGCCTCCGTGTTGTGTTATTCCCGACCCTCAAAGAGCCTCCCTTCTCATCCTGAAATGCTGAGATAAATGATTTGAGTGACACTTGCTTTGACCACTTACATCTGGCTCAGCGAGATTCTATCCGCTAGAGTCTGTCCACGATATTCTATCTATTTATCATTGATAATATGTGGAGATAAACTATTAAATTTTGATCATCTGGAATACCTGGAGAATAAAGTATTCTGGCTTAATTGAATTTTCTCTGTAACATAGAATTATAACACAAATTTCATCTCTCCCATTTCTTGTTTTTGAAAATAAAACTAATTAACTTTCTGTCTAGTCATCTTAGTATGCTGAGTAAAATTTAATATTTTTAAAAATTCAATGTTCAATTTATTTATTCATTCATTCTACAAATATGTGTTGAGCATATATAGCAGTGCCAGGCCATATTCTGGGAGAGAGATTGGAGCAAAAACTTTGAGGAAGTAAGTGAGCGTGTTGTGCAGAGCTTTGTGATTGATCTTCTGGATTCCTTCAAACTGAGTCATCCTGTCTCTTCTACCTAAATAGTGTTGGCCTTAAAAATAGTAAAAATGAATGTTCTCAGGAATGTAATGAGTGAGGGCAAACCAGAATGAAATGGTGAAAAATTTGAATAGCAGAATAATTTAATAAAAGGTACATTGAGGGCTGTAATTTTAGATAGCTTGGCTTCACATCTTGGTTCTGCCACTTAATACCTTTGCACTGTTGGACAAGTTTCTTCACTTCTCATTGCCTCAGTTTCTTCATCAGTAAAATGGGGCTGTTAGTAGCTACCTCATATAACTTGTGAGGACTAAATGAATAAATAACATGTAAAGTACTTAGAACCATGAGTTGTCCAAGAAAAGAATTCAATAAAATCTAGTTAATATTTTGATTGTTCTTAGTTTTAACCTGTAATACAAAATGACAACAAAGTGTTGCCAAATACATCATGGAAAGCCAGTAGATTACACAGTTGTTTTTATTTTTCAAATAGATTTATAAAACAAATATGCCCACATTAGAGAAGATTTTTAAGATAGTGGAAAGGAAAAGAAAATCACTGGTAATCATAAAGAAAATTCCTTACCCTATTGTTATTAGCATTTTCTTCTAATTTTGTCTCCTTTGTTTCGGTTTTAAATCTTCAGTTCCACATTTCCTGCAGGGTCAAGCCCAAATTCTGTTGCCTGACAAATGATGATCTACTTCTCACACCTCAGCTTTAACTCTCCCAAACACACTGTGGGATCCCGCTCCTATTGAAATATTGATATCTTCTTTTTTTTTTTTTTTCCACTCACAGTGCTTGGTTCAATTCATGTTAAAAAGCATTTATAGAGCTCTAAACTCTAAAGTTACAAACCTAAGTCAGTCTTGCACTTTAAAAAGTGCTCAGTCCAGTTCCGCATCTGACTAGCAGCCCATTTTATTCCCTCTTTCTCAGTCTGTTCAGCAAGCAGCTGCTCACATTGTAAGAGTCGGGTCAATAGAGCCCTCCTCTGCAATGCCTTTCCTGATTTCCTTTCCTAGGTGAAATTGATGGCTTTGGTTTTGGCGGGAAGGAGGTTTGCTTTGCAAAGTGGTACCCTAAGCAAATCTCTATGAGAGCGCTATAATGCTCTAATACATATACTGTTTCCTTATCTGTCTTCCCCTGTTGGACTGTAAGCTCCCTGAGGTCAGGAAACAAGTCTAATTTGTGTGATAGGTACTAAGTAACATGATTGAAGCAACAAATCTGAATTTTTACATTGTTGCAATGATGGTATATATGTTCAAATTATATAGCCTATTTCTTTTTCACTTCACATTTTATCTCAAGTAATTCCAGATTGCTACAATTAATATTTTAATGGCTATTTAATAGTACTTTGAAGGTCAGTGCTGCCCAATAGAACTTTCCGTGCTTACGGAAATGTTCAATATCTGTGCTGTCCGATATAGTAGCCTCTAGTCTCATGTTCTACTGAGCACTTGAAATGTGGCTACTGTAACTGAGGAACTGAGTTATTCATTTTATTTAAGTAATTTAAATTGAGATTGCTTTCTGACTACTACCTTTTGAATAACAGGTGAGACACATTTATAATTATCACATTGTTATACAAGGGGGTGGTACTTGAAATGGTGTTTAAAATATTTTAAAGTCTAAATATGCTAATCATCTCCTCCTAAAATTTTTATAATCTTGATTTCTTTGAAAACTTGTACTTCCATATACAATGAAAAAGTAAGTACCAACACTCATCCACAGAAGAAATTCCAATTTCATGGGCTATAACTAATTGGATATTACAACATGTACCCACTGGTACAGTTGTTTATTGATGCTTCAGATGTTTGTATTTATCCTCCAGATGGCTTTTTATATTATTTCATACTATCACATGGTGACTTTAAAAGTTGGACTGTTATTTTATTTTTTTACTATTTTAGCAGGGTGTCTGATTTGTATATTTTAATTATTCCTTACATTCTAGTTCTTAAAAAATCATTAAATATACTTAATAGCTTGTGTGTATATTATATGAAAAGGTCTTAGGCACAGTGGTCAATGCAAAGACTATTGAGTAAACTTTACCAGATGTGCCTCTCTGAGTAAGATTATCTCTCCAGCCAAAGAGCAAAAGCTCGCTCTTGAAGAAAAGTTTCATCTGCTTCCCACCCACTTTGAAAGATATAGTGCAATCCTTATTTAAGCAATTATAATATTCTGGGAAATATAGCCCAATGTGTTTTCCAAATAGAAAAAAAAAAAAAACAGCAGAAAATTCTTGTTGGTTTTGAAATATCAGATGTCAGATTACTGCTTTTATTAGTGAAAGATTGCTATCATTTCCATGACTCTTAAGCCACAGTAATCCACTCTGACCTGTAGCTACACTTAAGACATTCTGGTAGTTGTTCTCTTGGCTATATTTTATTATCTATTTTGTATGTTATAACGTAAGATTCAGTATACTGAATTATTGAATAAATTTTTCAAATTTGGGCTAATATTAATTTTAAGATGCCAGATAAACAAGATTATTGTCTAGCAGAACTATTAAGTTTTAGTTACTACTGGTCACCTATTTCATCCAGATGTGCAAATACTATTGTAGGCAGAATTTTGAAGATGTCCCCCAAGACTCCCATTCTCTGGTTACTCAGTCAAACACTAATCTAGGTGTGAAGGAACTTTGCAGATGGAACTATGGTTACTAATCAGCTCACCTTAAAATAGAAAGGTTATTCCTGAAATATGCAGGGGGCCCAAAGTAATCCCATGAGCTCTTAACAACAGAAAAGGAAGACAGAAGAGTCACTCAGAGAAATACAGTAAAGACGGAGAAAGGATATGACAGGAGGGGAGCAAACACGAGAAGGATTTTTCACACCTTTGCCTCTGACACGTAGGGGTCCAAGTGTAAGGACTGGCGAGAGACATCTCAGGGTTGAGGGTAGCCCCCAGTTAATCACCAGGAAAGAAACGGGAAACTCAGTCTTACAAATACTGAAGTCAGGAACTGGATTCAGCTAACAGACAGCCTGAATGAGTTGGGAGGCATGTTCTTCCCAGAGCCTCTGGTAAGAGCCCAGCCAATCGACGACTTGATTTCAGTCTTGTTCAGTCTGGAAAAGAAAAACCAGCCCAATCAACCTTCACTTCCTACTTGTAGAAATGTGAGATAATAAATTTGTGTTGATTTAGTTGCTAAATTTGTGGTAATTTGTTATAGCAGCAATAGAAAACTACTACAGATACCAAGTTAAGCATTCAGTGATCTGGAGGGATATTGAATTGCATGCAAGTTTTTAATACATGTGTTTGTTTATTCACGATCTAAATATGATCTCGTTAAAATGTAATGTATTTTTAATGGAAATGTTTCAATGTTTTCTAATGTTTACTTCCCTTTCCATAAAAAATCAATTTAAATTTATGTGATAGGAAGAAATAAGTTACAGGAAGGAACTTGTAACTTGCTTTGATCCTAATGTTTGGCTCATGAATGTACAGTATAAAACCAAGATAGATCAAGTGTTTCTTGAGAGTAGGGACCATGTCTCTTTTGTCTTTGTCTCTATCTCCAGGTGGATACATTATAGGCATTTAATGAATGCTTCTTGAATGTTGTATGTATTGGTTTGTCTTTTTGCTCTAAGAAAAAAGTTACTTTAAAAACTCTATGTTCTATATGTTTTCCTATAGGTTATGCTTTCTAATCCAGTGCTAGAAAATCCAGTGAATTTGGAAGCAGCCCATATACTGAATAAAGATGAAACTCTGTACAGGCAAATAATTCTAGGACGTTTCCACCAGCCATTACAATGTAAGAAGTGCCTACTTATTGTTATTTGCCAGTTATTAATTATTTATACCAAGTAAATGATCTAGCAAGTAACTTGTATACGGCAATATTTTCTGTATCCATTTTCAGTAATGAAGTCATACTAAGATCTCTCCTACTGTACCTCTTTTTCAAATCCATCAGTGTGATCCCTTTTTTTTCCTAATTGAAGAATAGTTGATTTACAATGTTGTGTTAGTTTCAGGTGTACAGCAAAGTGATTCAGTTATACATACATATATATCTATTTTATATATCTGTTTTTTCAGATTCTTTTCCCTTATAGGTTATTACAAAATATTGAGTAGAGTTCCCTGTGCTATACAGTAGGTCCTTGTTGTCTGTTTTATATATAGTAGTGTGTACATATTAATCCCAAACTCCTAATTTACCCCTGCCCGCCCCCTTTCCCCTTTGGTAACCATAAGTTTGTTTTCTATGTCTGTGGGTCTATTTCTGTTTTGTATGTAAGTTCATTTCTATCATTTTTTTTAGATTCAACATATAAGCAATATCATAAGATATTTGTCTTTCTCTGGCTGGTTTAGCGTGGTCCTTTTTAAAAGATTACCAAAAATCATAGGCATAGTATCTTTAAAAGTAATGGTCGGGCCTCCCTGGTGGCGCAATGGTTGAGGGTCTGCCTGCCAATGGGGGGGACACGGGTTCGTGCCCCGGTCTGTGGGGATCCCACATGCCGCAGAGTGGCTGGGCCTGTGAGCCATGGCCGCTGAGCCTGCACGTCTGGAGCCTGTGCTCCGCAACGGGAAAGGCCACAACAGTGAGAGGCCCGCATACTGCAAAAATAAATAAATAAAAGTAATGGTCATATGGGTGAATGGTGCTGATCAAAACTAGTCTACCCATCATAAAGATATGACACCAGTTTTAACTCTCTGATCTGTAATGGATATTTCTCAGACTTCACCTTTAGTAACCCCCAGATCTTACTTATCTGGGACTCCTTTCCCCTTGATTAGGAAAGCTTTCAGCATTTTTCTTTCTGGAGAGTTCTTCCTCCAGGTATTCCTTCAAAGAATCCATGTGGAAATGACATCTGAGCCTTTTCAGTCTTTCTGCTCTATTGACCAATGTTTTCCTGATACCGTTGGTCTGCTCCCTCTCATCCTGCCAGGAACCTTTTCTTGACTCTTAATTCCATCACCTCTATTGCTCCTGTGCTCTCTCTGCAGTTAGCAGAGCAATGCTGTTGGCTCCTTATGCCCAGGGGTGTTTGCCACAAGTGAAGGTTGGGATCCTAGTGACATAGCTCTTTCCTTTACATTCTGCCCCTCCTTTCAGCAGTGCACAGCAGCCTCACACAGTAACTGGCATTATTAGCTCCCCAATCAGCAGGACTCGCTGTTCAGACTCACTCTGCCAAACTGATGTCTCTTGTGCTTTTTCTCTCCATTAGATGTCCACGATCTCTTCGTCCATCCCCTTCTAGGACCTGCCAGCCCATTAGTCAGGTCTGTACAGTTTGTGGCCAAGTTCAAGTCCTCCTCCACAGGGCATCTGGGTCAGATGCAATATTGATCAGGCATCTTTTCCAGTATCTTCAAATATGTCATGATTGTCGCGGAGTTCCTCAAAATTCCCTGACAGTTTTGAGGCTGGTTTGTCCACAGAGGAATGGTACCGCTTCACTCTGATCATATTTCTGACCAATCAGAATACTGTAGCATCCCCTGCTGTGTCCTCTGCACTCAGGAAGTGTTTGTGGAATGAGCAAATGAACGACATGTATCCCTTCTGTCATGCACTACAATACTGTCATTACCCAGAAATATTCTGTACAAAGCTATGTCCATATTCTGGTGAATGCAAATTTTAAAACTGGTTTTAAAGAATTTTCTATGGTAAATGACTTTGGTTTTGCCCTGCAGAGAGAAGGATGAGAAGAAACTGCAAGACAAATTGGCCCTTCCTTTTCTTCTTTTCTCTCAGGCTGACATCACCCTTCACTCCTTTCAGTCCTCCTGCTTTGCCAACAAACCAGACAGGAAAGCTGTCCACGTTGCCAAATCACCCAACAAATGAGTGACAAAGCAAATAGTGCTTTGGTAGGTTTTCACTATATGCTTTATTTGTGTTGGTGAAATATGTGGGAATCCAAGAGAGCAAATCGTTTTCAGCTTGCCTGCCATCACAGCAGGACTGGAGTGGTACCTATAGTGCCAGGAAGAAAATGATTTTCTGTGCTTCATAGAGAAAGAGTGCCGTGATACAGCAGAGGCAGCTGCTGTGGTGGGAAATGAAGTGTGGAAAAATGCGTTCACTCTAACTTAGATGGTAGCATAGTACCATGTGGTTTTCTGTGAAAAACTGCATCCAATGAGAATTAATTTCCTGTAACAACTTTGAAAAGAAAAGGTCTCCACTACAGTGCTGCAAGAATCAGCTTTCATGTACGTTTAATATATTAATAAGAAGGTCTGGAAAATGCAAAGGAGAAATTATCCCATTTTTGGATAACACAAAAGTGGAACAGATAGTTACTTGTATACATGAGAAACTCAAGAGGCAGGTAATTGTATCATATCCGTAGGCATTAATTTTCGGCTACAGCAATATCCTCAGTGCCCAGGTAGCAGTCTCTGGCTATAAGTATTGAATAAAAATTTGTAGATTGAATGAATGAAAAAATACACATAAAGGGCTTCCCGGGTGGCACAGTGGTTGAGAGTCCGCCTGCCGATGCAGGGGACGCAGGTTCGTGCCCCGGTCCGAGAGGATCCCACATGCTGTGGAGCGGCTGGGCCCGTGAGCCATGGCTGCTGAGCCTGTGTGTCCGGAGCCTGTGCTCCGCAGCGGGAGAGGCCCGCCTACTGCAAAAAAAAACCCATAAATTTAGATCCTGATTTTACTTCATAGTTTACAGAATGCTTTCACATACATTTATTCATCTGATCCTTAGCCTCTTCCCCTGAGGCAGCTGAGGATGGTGATGAAGGGATTAGCCCAAGGCCACACACAGCAAGCTGCAGGGCCAGAGATCCACCCTGGGCATTCCCCCTGCCGCCCTCCCCACCCCCCACCCTCCGCCCCGTGCCTCCAATTTAATGAGGTGAACATAAAGTCATTCATGTGGGATCAAAGAATTAAAATTTCCAAGTACTGAAGAGAAGAGACCTGACTTCATAGCAGACCTTTAGTCTATGAAAAATTCTTAGGAAGCTGTTTGAACACAAGCTTAATGTGAAAAGCAAGTGCCCTTCTACCAAGCATGTGCGAAATGATAACTTGCCCGACTCTGGTTAGGTGGGCCCTTCTCTGGAATACCAGCCTTTTCCTTGGCGTGTTGACAAGAATGCACAAACTCTGAGTTCAAACCCGATTGGTGGGGACTTCCCTGGTGGCGCAGTGGTTAGGAATCCGCCAGCCAATGCAGGGGACATGGGTTCAATCCCTGGTCCAGGAAGATCCCACATGCGGTGGAGCAACTAAGCCCATGTGACACAACTACTGAGCCTGCGCTTTAGAGCCCACGTGCCACAACGACTTAAGCCCACACTCCTAGAGCCCATGCTCCGCAACAAGAGAAGCCATCGCAATGAGAAGCACATGCAGCACAATGAAGAATAAGCCCCCACTCACCACAACTAGAGGAACCCTGTGTGCAGCAGTGAAGACCCGACACAGACAAAAAAAAAAAAAAAACGATTGGTGGAGGTCCTGATGACCTTCCCATGTCCTGCAAGCCTCTTCTCCTTGTGGTCTGGACCCTGACTCCCTTACTTATAGTTTGGGTGCTCACACATACCAGACTGCCTGGGACAGGCTAGGCCCGTGAGCCATGGCCGCTGAGCCTGAGCGTCCGGAGCCTGTGCTCTGCAACGGGAGAGGCCACAACAGTGAGAGGCCTGCGTACTGCAAAAAAAAAAAAACTATAATATAATTACTGACAGATATTATGACAGTCAAAATACAAGAATAGAGAAGAATTATAAAAATATTAGGGAGATTATACAACTAATTCACATTGGGTACTTTTAAAAAAACCCTGATGATTGTGCAAATCCATCCCATCCTCCTTGCAGTTAGGAAGATGTTGTGATAAGCATTTGATTCTTCTTCAATTTAAGTTCTCAATTTGTTCACTTTTTTTTTTAAAGTTCTCTTAACAATAGAACAATTTTAGAGGAACTTGTTTCTACAATTGAAGCAGGTGATGTCTCGTAGGATTTCAGGTGTTGGGTTTTTTTCTCTTAAAGGGAGTACTGGTTGTTAGGTGTAGGAATACCCTTTCCTTTGGAAAAGATTCTTTCTTGATGTCAGGAGAAAGAGAAATTTAGTCCATTAGCTTCTCATGAAAGAACATGAGCTTTAGCACCATCATTCAGAGCCAGTTTTGTTGTTGATGATTACAGTATTACTCCAGATATTCTGCTGTCTACAGATGTCAGGAGATGTGGAAAACCTGACTTTCACAGGATGGCCTGTATGGATCTGTTTGCTGGAGTTACAGACCTCTTTTGTCCTTTTTTGTATTTCACTGCACCAGATGTTCCAGGAACTTTTCAGCAAAGTCTCTGCTAAAGATGTTAAGTATTTATTTTCTATCAAAGAAATATTTGTGCATAGCTTTAAAGGACAGGTAACACCAATCGGTTTTTAAGGAAATACAGCAGACCTTGGAAGCCACACCTTCCATGGCTGAGAGCCGTCCCCACCCCGACAAGGTACCAACAGCTTTCAACACGTTTATCTGTTTCTTTTGGAATTCACCACTATATTGCTAAATTTATTCTGTACTAAATTTCTGGGGTTTTCAGTTTAGATATTACTTATGGGCTTCTTCTGAGAGATAAAGATTTAGTTTTTATGTGCCATTTCCACTCACGTTTTCTCTCCCCCATTCTCCTAGTATTGTTCGTTTACATTGATATGACTTAGTAAATATTCGTCATAGGTGAGCCACGAATGATTATTTTTCTTGTACAAATGGCCTGTTTTTTCATTCCCTTGCTTTTGTTTTCTGGATTTTTATTTGTTCTTTTTAAAAATATCTACCATTTATTTTTCCCCTAAGCTTTCTGACAGAGCTGTAAAGACAAACAAACAAACAAACAAAACACACACACCAGGTATTCAGTCAGTTTCATTTTTTCCCCTGGAAGACGTCTTTGCTGAGGCCCTCATGCGCCTCCTCCTTTTCTGAATTGGCAGTTCTCTCGTAGGGATCCTGGAGTGACCTTTTGGTCTGCCTCTTGGATTGGAGCTCTTGCTTGATCCCTCCTTTTCCTCTTGGTTGGTTTGCTCCTTCATTTTGTTGGAACACTTCCTCCAGGAGCTTCCAAGTACATGAAAGCTAAATCTTTTATTACTTCACATGCCTAAAAATGTATTTTTTCCACTCTCATATGTTCATAATTTGGTTAAACTTTAGTCTGAAAATGTTTTTCCTCCTCATTCATCATGTAGGGCATTTCATAGGCTGTTTAAATCTCAAACTCTAATTCTTTAGTTCTGGACTTTTTTCTTATATGATTTCTCTTATAATACCTGTCCCCTCCAGTTTCCCTGTTCTCTCTTCTAAATCTCCAAAGATTTAGACGTGGGATCTACTGATCTGTTACTCTGATTTTTTAAAATCTATTTTCTCCTATTATCCATCTCTTTGTTTTTCTGTTCTGTATTCTGGAAAATGTCCAGAAAAGTATGTTCCTAGTTCCTATTTTCTTCCTGCTTATTTGTTTTGGTTGTCATCCTTCATGATAATGACTTTACTCAGATATCTACTGATCTTTGACTATGTGTCTGTATGATGGACACACGATGAATGAAAATCATTCATTGAAAAGGTTGGAAATTTTGGATACAGATTGGACTTGTTGATGGTTTTGTTTCATTATAGGGTTATTCAGTGGGGACCTGACCTTACCTTTAGCTAGGCTTGACTATTTTTTCTGAGACATATCCTCCAGTCTTATGCCTGAAGAGAGAGGTGTTAACTACTTACACTCTAGGAGCTGGACAGAGAGTGAGAATAAGGAACCTTTCTTATCCAATACGATTTATTTGATTTATTCCCTGCCTTCAGTCGCTTACCATACTCTTGTTCTGCTATCTCCTGAATCTCTCTGGTTCAGTTTCTCCAGAATTAGGCATACTCCCTCCTGCCTGGGCAGTGGTGGTCTTCTGGTTGCATAGGATGAAGGCTATGTCTTTGGGGTCCATGCTATACCTGTCAGTTTTCAGAGGTCTCTGGTACCTCCAATTCCTGAGTGTTTCTCAAGTTCTGAAGTGTAAATCTGCTTGCTTTTTATTGGCCTCCCCTCATCAGGTCGTTAGGTTTCAAGTTTCTATGGCCTGTTAAGATAGTTACCACTTGACATCTGCTTTCCATCTTGAAAATTTTTCTTGCCATCTTTCTTTTGTGCTCCTTGAGGTTTTATACTTTATTTTTATTCCTTTCTTACCATCTTATTGAGGCTTTGGAAAGAATGCACATAAGGCCATATATTCAGTCTTCCGAGTAAACCAGAATCTTTTCATATTTTTCTTTACAGCAAAAGATGACAGTTCTGAGTCACCTAAAGAGCCAGATAAATTTAACAGGTAAGTTTTTCTTTATACAATTTTTGGCCAATTTATACACTAAAAGAACTATTGATTTAACCTGTGTTTTCTATCATAATTGTATTTTCATTTTTTTAACTTAGAAAAAATATTTTTCATTTAAATATATTTTCCCTTCCAATACCTTTTAAAAATGACGTTTTCAGGAAGAATATGGAGAATCTTGAATTCTTTCTAGTCTATTGAATTAAAATTGATGTAACTATGTTAGTTGCCTATTCTTTTAGTTTTTATTTCTGAAAAGGAAAAAAAATGTTGTCTACATTATAGATCCAACCATTATAGATCACAAAAATCCAAGCAATTTAGGAGACGATAAAGTCCTGGAGGAAAATGGTGAGAGTTAGGGCTAAAGCCATTGTACACTTGGGAGACCACCTGACAATGTGACATCAATTCAGCCTTGAACACCTGGACAAGGTGTAGGTTCTGCAGCATTCAGCTTCTCTAGCATTTCCATCAGCCTTATTTTGATAGTTAGTCAGATGCAGAAAACAGCCAGCTTACTAGTGTTGACATAATACTTGATCTATCTTGGTTTTATACTATACATGCTCCAAAACAAGGATCCTCTTAGTGGATTTATAATAGTAAAATGTTCCCAAAGGACTGAAATCAAAAGGAACCCTCAGATCGGGGCTCTGTCCCAGAATGTGAGACAATGTCATGTCAAGGGGCTCTGTGTCTGGAAGTGTTAGAAGCTCAGAATTAGAAGACCCAGAAAAACCGACAGAATGATTAATTGGGACCTGACAGGAAGAACGTTGACCTTGTCTGTCCCCTAGCACTCAGATGAAGACCAGCCAGTAGCAGTGGTGGGGTCTGTCTCAGGCAGGAGCAGGAGGAAGGGCAAATCCCATTACAGGGAGAAAACTTTGGCCCTTTGGTTCTTTGTCTGGGGCAATGAGTCCCTCATCAGACAGGCAGCAAGGTAACCAGACGGCACCATAAGGATCCAGCACTGATCACAGGATAATAAAATCTGGGGTCTGGGAGAAAGACTTTAACTATAACTTTAGTCAGAAACAACTCGAGAGCCATGGTGAGATAAACTTGTAAATGGTGTTATCTTGAAAAATCGAGATTCGTGACAATGAAAGGAAAAAAAGGGGGGTGAAAAGTTGGGAGAGAGTGATGTTTTAACAGGTACAGTGAGATTCAGGGCAGAGGGAGTAACTAGGGTATTGATTCTAAGTTGGATGTGAGAGTGGTGTGTTAGAGGCTCTGAAAGAAGGCCAATGCAGCTGGAACACAGCAAGGGGGAAAGAAGAGATGGGTAGGAGATAGAGTAAGAGATGTAGACAGGGCCAGATCACTTAGAGCTTTATAAACCAGGTAAGGAATTTGCATTTCATTAACCTTTCAGTGGGAATTGGGACACAGCTGGACAGCTTTTAAGAAGGGGAAAGACATAATCAGATTTACATTTTAAAAGGACTACTTTAACTGCGATGTGGGGAATCAATTGTGAAGGATCTAAGGCGGAAGCAAGGAGAAGAATTATTGGGTTATTTTAGTAGACCGGGGAGAGGTGGGGTGTTATGAGCTAGGGGCTGAGGACATAGATATGGAGAGGGAAATAAGTGGATGAATTGGATGGATTCAAGACTTAGTTTGATTGATGTGGGGAATGAGAGAAAGTGGAACCAAGGGTTATTACTAGATTGTAGTTTGAACTGGATGGGTACTGCGGTGACTTACTGAGATGGGAGAGATTGGAAGATCACACCACTGGCTGCAACTAACAATCCCAGTTATGGATGAGGCTGTGATTGCACTGTAGCTCTCCTACGTTGCTGTGTGCATTGTTGTACCATTTGACACGCCCACAGCCAGTCTGGAAAACAGTTTAGCAGTTTCTTATAATGTCAAACATTCGCCTGCCCTCTAACCCACTCCTAAAGTATTTATCTTAGAGAAATGAAAGTATATATTCACCAAAAGACTTGCACACAAATGTTCATAGGAGCTTTATTCGTAATATCCCAAACTGAAAACAACTAAAATGTCCATCAACAATCAACATTATATATTCAACAGTTGAACATTATATATTCAACAGTCGAATATATAAATAAATTGTGTTATAGTTATGAATTGAATACTCTCAGCAATAGAACTGTTGATACATGCAACAACATGGAATAATAATGCAGACATTATGTTAAGAAAAAAAAAAACAGAGTTATAAAAGAGTACGTGCTGTACAATTCAATGTATATGAAGTTCTAGGACAGGCAAAACTAATCTATGGTGATAGAGATTGGATCAGTGATTACCCAAAGTGTCAAGGGAGATTGACTGGGAAGGGGCAGTAGGGAACTTTCAGGACTAATGAAAATATTCTATATCTTGTTTGGGCTTATGGTAATGCAGGGGTCTGCTTTTATTAAAACTCATCAATCTGTAGTCAACCTATGCATTTTATTGAATGTAAATTACACTTTAATAAAGTTGAATTTTGAAGGTATTCAACTAACTTTACAACTCTTTTAGAAATCTAAATTTACTTCAAATAAAATCTTTTTTAGAAAGGCATTCAAACTCTTCCAATAAATAGAGACAGTGAGTATGCTACCAAACTTCCAAACTCTGATTCTAAAATCAGAGATCATTACAAGAAAGGAAAATTATAGGTCAATACCTCTTAAATCTGAAATGTATAAATCATAACCAAAATATTAGCAAATTGAACCCACTGATATATAAAAAGGGATAGTACATCATGACTAAGTGGGCTTTATTTCAGGAAAGCCAGGTTGGTTTAAAATTTGAAAATCAATCCTTGTAACTCACCTAGTTAACCAAATAAAGAGAAAAAAACCATAGACTTATCTAGGTGAACCAGGAGACACATTTAATACCCATTCATGATAAAAATTCTCAGCAAACTAAGAGTAGAAGAGAATTTCCTTATTTCAATAAAAGGAGTCTACAGAAATCCAACAGCTAACTTCACACTTAAATGTGAAATGTTGAGTGCTTTTCTCCTGAGTTTAGGAACAATGCAAATATGCCCATTATCACCATTTCTATCCAACATTGTACTGGAGTCCTAGCCAGTGCAATGAGGGAAGGAAAAAAAAACAAGTTATAAAATGTGGAAAGGGTAAAGTAAACCATCTTTATTCACAGACAACACAACTATATACATAGTAAAATCCAAATAAATATACAAAGCTTGAAAATTTGAAAATTAATCAGTAAATTTAGCAGGGATCCTGGATATAAGATGAATATTTAAAAATCAACTATATTTTTATATACTAGCAATCAACACATAGAAAATGAAATTTTAAAAATACCATTACAACAGCATCAAAATGTAACAAAAGATGAATAAGGTATCCATACTGAAAAAGCACAAAATATGAGAGAAATTTTAAAAGACATAAAGAAATAGAGATATACAAAGTTTATGGCTTGGGAAAGACTCAATATTCTTAGTGTCAACTCTTCCCAAATTATAGATTCAATTCAGTCTCAGTCAAAATCTCAGCAGCCTTATTTTTTTCTGAAAACTGACAAGTGGTCTAAAATGTATCTAGAAATGCAAAGGGTTTAGAATAACAAGGCAATCTTGAAGAAGAACAGAGGGGATCAACACTCTCAGAGATCAAGATGTATTAGAAAGCTAGAATAAGTTTCACTCTGATTGGAGCTATTTAGGTCAGATTCCTGTCCCTAAACTAGTTATCACTCAACTGGCTTAGAGCCAGGGGTGGGGTCAGTCCCATCAGACCACAGGGCATGTACAGAATGGGAGAAGAATGGAACAGCTATCGGGGAGGCAACCACAATATCCACTGTGACAATCTTCATGTCTGTATTATTTTTATTGTACCTGAACTTTAATAAGTAAGACTTTGACAGGCACAGAGGGCAAAAGACTCTCTAATAGAACTGCTTGCACAGACATGGAAATGTAATATTTTGGTACACTCAGGATCACCAGGAAGTTCCATGTGACGGAGCCTCTGGATGTGGAGATGAATGACGGGAGAAAAGGCTGGAAATGGCCAGATGATGAAGAACCTCAAGTTCTATTTAAAAGTTGTTTATATGTCATCTTATAGAACTATTTACCAACTGTGGCTTTCAAGCAGAGGCATGATAACCTGGAATAGGGAGAGACTGAGGTAAATGAACAATTAGGAAGCTGTTTAGCATTTACAGGAGAAAAATGATGAGCTACTTACCCAAGGCAGTTGAGGAGACCAGCTGACACTGAGTGCTGAGGGATGCTAAACCCTTCCTTGGCTGTTTTTATGCATGTTCACAACCACCACTGGAGAAAGTTCTATCTCTGGAAACGTGGAGAGGTTAGGCTACGTGCCCGGAGTTACACAGCTAATAAGAAATGGTGCCAGAGTGTTTTAACCCAGGCCAGCTGATTCCAGAGCCTGTGCTCTTGGTCATGATACTGTTGAATACGTGACTAAATATCCAGAGATATTTAAGAATTTAGTCATTAGGCTTTGGCGATGGTTGGGATGTTGCTTCCATGAAATAGCGCTGCCATGATTCTCTTCTTCCCTTAATGATCCTTTTGGTTTCTTTCACAGGTCCCCCTTAACTGTGAATTGGTTTCTGCTCACTCTTTTCTAAACACTTACTTACTCTTTTGGAGTTTGTTTTCCCTAATGGCATCATCTATCAACCTTTGTGTTGATTTGACCTACATTTCTTATTTCCAGTCCCAATTTCTCAGTCACACTCCTGAAGGTCATCACCTACAACCCATGTTTAAAATTAAACTCATATTTTACTTCGGTTTCTCTAGACGCTTTCTATTAATAGCAAAGCTAAGTGGTCTTCTGGGTTTTAGGAGAATATTTGACCCTCAAATTCCTTCACTTTTCACACCCTATCAGGCAACTGGTTCAGTCAATTCTTTAGCATTCTCGTAGATTCATCTCCTCCCCTTCCTGATCTTTGCGCCCACCCGAGTTTTAGCTCTCAGAATCTCTTGCCTGCGTTACTGAATTTATTTCCTAACTGGTCCCCCTACATTTAATCTCTCACATAATCCTCTCTGCATGCTAATGCCAGAGAAAACTCTTACTCAATCACTGATTTCATAGTTTACTTGCCTTATTTGAGAACTTCTGATTACTGTCTATCACCTAATAAATCAAGGTTACTGAATCGAGTCTAATCCATTCTCTGCCTAAATTTGAAGAGCCAGCATTGCCTAGTTTCACCTATTTTTATCAAATTTCAATTCCCCTGAAATTGGAACTCTCTACTCTAGTCAATTATCTTGTTACTCTCACCTCTTCCCCCAACATCCTCTGTACGTAGGCATGCACACACCATGCTCCTTGCCATCTAAGCTATTGCTAATACTGATTCCCTGGCCTAAAATGCCTCCTTCCTTTGTCCCAGGTCCATATCCAGGTGACACTTTCCCTAATGGCTCCAAAACAAAGTTACAGCTCCCTCCTTCAAATTTTTTTTGCTTATTGCCACTGCCAAAGAAGTATCTGTCATTGTAGTCTCCAAATGTCTATGTTAAATGATGTAACAGTTTATTATGTTAATATATAAAGCTATTCTATTTACTAGTTCAGATATATATCTTATTTTCCCAACAGAATAATAATAAGCAGTGAGGTTCAGTTTAAAATTATGTCTTCTACTTTTTCATATTCATAATGCCAACAATAATACTCAATAAATTCCTGTTATTGGTTGAAACTATAAACACATGTATTTTTTTATGCTGTACACATCCCTTCATATTTTATCTGAATAATAGTAAATAGTTACTGTTCTCTTATTTTAAGAGGCTATTTCCTTTATAGAATTGAAAGTGCAGATACTCCCAAATGTTTGAGGCATTCTGTTTTGTATATTCAAACTATACTAAAGTTATACCTTTTAGAGTAATATTTTTAATTATTCTAGGGGAATAAAAGAAAGCCCCTGAAGGCTAACAGCTTGAAATTGAACAGGACACCATTGGGAAGGGAGAGGGTCATGGGTCATCGTCAAACAGACAAAAAACAATGGAGACGATTGTGCCTGAAGATGGTGTATTTTTTTTTCATGAGACAGTATGTTGACAGTTTCCTTCCTCTTGGGTCATTGTTGTCTGCTAAGTGATCTGTGACAGCAAATTGATCACAAGCTTTTTCATGCAGGAGATATAATGCAACCTTTCATTTTGTTACCTCCGTTGCCAAATGCTGAAACATTTCATTGGCAAATTAATGTTAGTTTAGTATATCATTTAGTAGTATAAAGCACGCATGTAGCTCTGGAAGCAATAATAGTAGTGATTAATTTATCTTTACCAAGTTTCAGATTTCTACTTAAGTGTGATTACAAAAGCAATAACACACTTGAAAAATGTTAGTCTTAAAATTAGGTGTCCGTAATTATCATTTAAATAAATGAATGCATTAACAAATTTAGATATTGCCCCCATTAATTTCAAAATTGAGTCAGATATTAAGGTACCTATGATTTACCTATAAAAATTAATGCTAATAACCTATTATAACTGAAAATTTGCTTCTTCCTCCAAAGAGCTAGGAATTTAAAATTAAAACAGACATAAAGTCTTTTATATTTGATGTTTAAGCATCTGTTTAAGTCAGTTAATAGATGATTTCACATGTCTGAAAAATATCTGAAAGTAATGTTTTGTTTGTGGAGTGTTGAGAATCTCTGCATTCAAGAAGATTGTAAGAAAAAAATTGGAAATGCAGTTATTTAAGAGTAAGAGACTGTTTCATAGGTCTCGTTTAATACTTTGTAACAGTCTTCGCTCTCCCATTAGGATTTGGTAATATTAGCACTGGGAAGGAAATGTGCTGGCAGTAATATTAGAAAAGAGTTGTTTATTTTCCCTCATTGAAAGTGGCCAGATTCTGTGTAAAGATTAAACTAATCTCAATTCTGGTGTTTCATTTCTCCTCATAATAAAAAGAAAATAAAGGTGATTTTACTAAAATTTGGCATAGAAATTTAAGAAAGTTGTTTATCGTAGAAAGAGAAAATGTACAGCTATGATGTTTTATTTAAAGTTCTTTTCAATGTTAGTCACGAAAGGCACAGTTATCTTAAACCTATATTTTTCTTTTTATAATATACACGTGGATGCACATTTACACTTATTATAGAAAACTGGTTTGGATGGACCTTTTTTTGTGATTTGCATGTATTCGTGGAAAATTATGTTAGATTCATTTGTTAGAAATAACTATGTGAGAATTTGCAGATCAGCCTAATGTCTTGTGACAAGGTATCTGAAAGAGTCCGCTCTGATAAAAATAATTTTAAAAAGCAAACTTTCATGCTACTCACTGTCTGATCTTATTTTGTATTTTCAGATCAATTAAATCAGTCTCATTTTATGATTACTACAAGACATGGTCTAGAATAGCCACATCAAAAGCCACAGAATATTACAGAACTCCATGTAAGGTGATCTAACCTTGTCTTATTTTTGCGGGGAGGGGGGTTGGTATATTAATCTCAACATCCTCAGCTTGTCTTGCTTTCAAAGACTAATTGACACATATTTGGAATCTGAGGGTGATAAACTTCTTTGTTGGCTCTATATACTAATCATTCAACAACTGTTCATTTAGTCCCTCTTTTGTAAAGAGTCCTGGACTGAAGTCTGATTAAAAGCCCAAAGGAAAGATAGGCAATTGGACGAATAAAAGACAAAGTTCTCGGTCTTTTGAGCTTTACTTTACGCCCTTTACCCCAGAAGGAAACCTTCATAGCAGGAGGAAACTTTCTGGTGCTAAACACAATTATCCCCAAAGCCAGAGATATTATTAAGTAGAAAGACAGCAAGAAAACCTGGGGATGCTCAATTATATCAGTCGAAGAAAAAATCATCTGTTACCATCATACATTAAGAACTAGAAAGATGGAATAGGAGAGCTGGACAACTTTTTGGTCCCATTTAATCTAATCTTTAGAGTACTGTTTCATTATTTGTATCAAAGTAGGTTAGCCAGTCTGCACACGTTTACTGAAATACGACTTTGCTTCAGCTATCCTGCAAAATGGTACATTCTGAAGTTATCAGTGACTTCCGAATTCCCAGATTCAGTGATTACATTTTTTTAGTCTTTATCTTACTTGAAATCCTATTGGCTATGCTCTCCTTGAGTTAGAAGACACCATGTATCCATGGTTTTCCTCTTACCTTCCTAAGCACTCCTCTGCCTCTTTCCTTAGCAATAACTTCTTCATTCAGTATTCTCTGCCCAGCTCTCTTTAAGAGACCTCATCCATCACTATGATTTTCATTAGCCCACATGCCAGTAATTCCTAAAGCCTCATCTCTAGCCAGGCTCTCTTCTGAATTCTGAATGCATATTTACAATTGTGTAATAAGGCACCTCATACCCAAGATGTCCCAAAGTGAATTCATTATGTTGCTCCAAAACCTATTCTCCTTCCTTCATTACCTCTCTTGGTTAGTGGTAGATCACCGTTCTTGCATTTACTTGCCAAGCCAGAATCATAGACATTTCCTAGTCCTCTTTATCTCCCTTATTAACCCTTATTGATTTTATCTCCTGCAACATTACAAATGTTTCCCCTCTACTCCACCTCCATGACCACAGCCTTAATTTGTGGTCTCATTGTGTTTCATCTCATCATTGTGATAGTCTACTAATTGGTTTTAAGAGAACAAAATATCACCCAGAAAAAAAAAATCATATCTAGTTTTAAGACACAAATTAGAGCAAAAAGGAGTACTAAGCTTAATAAATATAAAAATGTGAGGTCAATAATTTCTAAGAAATTACTTGTTCTTTCAGGATGTTGGTTATTAGTTATTTTGTGATTATACATTATCTTCCTCACTGACTCGTAGATTAGTGATTAAGAAAAATAACTTGTTCAAGGTGCTTTAAGGAGTAGTCTTTAACAACACTATCAGTGTAAAAGAGTTTTATTGATTTTGATACCAGATTACATGAATGTTTACTTCATTTAAAAGATTTTGATTGAGTGCTTCTTAGTCGATTCAGCAAACACATCTTGAGTACTTGCTATGTAAGAGGCTCTGAGGAGCTCAGATGGGTTCCAGGAGGTGATAACCCTTAACAGATGTGGTGTCAAGAGGCAATTGGCATGCTCCAGGGAATGATTCAGCGTCCAACTCCTTCAACCAAAAAACAAACAGATTGTTATAGGTTGGTGCTTTATGGAATAACGTGTAAATATATGAAGGCTCTTGGAAACTCCAAACTGCTAGGAAAAAAACAGAAGCACATGCCCAAACAAAGAAATTCCAAAATGATTGTCTTATAATAAAGAATAATTTTAAAATGGAAGTAATAATGAAGTATCACTGGCTACAGTTTCTTCTTCAAAAGAGTTTGACACCAAAATATCTAAGTTGGTTCTTGTTTCTACATCTGTCACTAACCTAGTATGTAATTCATTTCTCTTTATGAAGGCAATAGCTGGTAATGGTTACCTCTAGCCCAGAAGAATTTCAGAGACTTTGATTCTAGCCCTTGGTGCAAGATTTCACAATCACTCTGCCTCTCTTTCCTACAGAGATTTGTCGTAAGAATATTTCAAAAGCTTTCCTTCAATAATAACCAGCACTTAATTAAAAAAAATTAAATGTAAACCTTACATGTGCTGCTGGCCAATTTTGTCTTTGGATAGTTCAACTGGATGAGATCCAATACTATCTTTTTTAATGGCTTAATTTCCTGGCAATAAGAAAGATGAAGCTGTTAGATTATAGAATGCTTCTTTAACTACTCAAAAATAAAGGGGGAACTTCTAATAACTTCATTTTCTACAGTTATATTTTTATCACTGGAAAGATTATTAAACTCTTGTGCATATTTTTAAAAGCTTTTTATTTTACGAATAGTGATGAGTAAGGTTATATTATGATTTTTTTTTTCGGTACGCGGGCCTTTCACTGTTGTGGCCTCTCCCATTGCGGGATGCGCAGGCTCAGCGGCCATGGCTCACGGGCCTAGTCGCTCCGCGGCATGTGGGATCTTCCCGGACCGGGGCATAAACCCGTGTCCCCTTCATCGGCAGGCGGACTCTCAACCACTGCGCCACCAGGGAAGCCCTATGTTATGCTTTTGAGTATTAACTCTATTGCATATCTTTGTGCCACAAATCTATACATAGTCATGTATGCCATAATACTAGTAAGTTTATTCTTGTATAACACGGTTTACAGAGTATACTCCGTATTGTTTTTCTTATTTATTTTTAATTGAGGTATAGTTGATGTACAATCTTATGTAAGTTTCAGGCATACAACTTAGTGATTCACAATTCTTAAAGGTTACGGTCCGCTTATAGTTATTATAAAATATTGGCTATATTCCCTGTGTTGTACAATATATCCTTGTAGCTTATTTATTTTATGCATAGTAGTTTGTACCTCTTAATCTGTATTTTTTTAATCATCCCAATCTTATTGTCCTTTCATTCACTTACCAACCAATATTTATTGAACACCTAGTATATGTCATGCAGAGTTGTATATCAACCCAATGAGCTCGGCATTGTTATTACTCTGTTTTACACATGAGAAAACCAAGACCAAAGGAAGCTAAGGAATTTACCCTAAGGTCACACATGGAATATCATATATTGGTAAGAGTGTAAATTCTGGATACATATTGCCAGGGTTTAATCCTGGCTCTGCAATTTACTAGCTGTGTGACCTTGGATAAGTTTCTTAACCTCTCTATGTCCCAGTTCTCTCATCTGTAAAATGAGAATAATCACAGAACGTACATCATAACGTTGAAGCGCTACAATGGTGCCTAGTGCATAGTGAGTGCTCAGTAAGTGTGGCTAATATTTATTAGTACAAGTGGGCTGTGGCCCAAAGACTTGAACCAAGTCCTCTGACTCCATATTTGTTCTTTCCTCTATATTATATTGCCTCCATAATATGATATAAAATTGTAATTTCTGTATAACTTGAGATTTAAATTCAAACTCTGAAGTATGTGCAGTACGTTTTCAGTAATTACAATGATTTGCTCATAATCATAGACAATCATATGGGAAAATGTACTGATGATCCACTGTTCTCTGTCCATCACTACAGAATGGCAAATTAAAAGTTTGGCAGAGAACAAACCAATACATCTGGCTGTGGGGCAACAGCACCTTAATGACAGAATATGATCCCCATAAGGAAATGTTTATGTTATACGAAAAGAATTCCTTCAGACCAGTGTACCCTGTAATAGTGAGCGGAGGCTTCCTGATGTTTCTTTGCTGTCATCAGGACAGACCAACCAGCCTGAAGCATCATGGGAATGCTTGCTTTCACCTTAGGATACTTTCATTCCTTGAGTCTTTGAGCCAGCAGTGAGGGCAAGTGTCTCCAGAAATGCATTTAGATGCAAGAAGCAGTATCATCGGCTTCTAATGCAGTGGTCTCAGTCTTGACTGCTCCTTAGAACCACCAGAGGAGCTCGTGCACATTCCCCGTGTAAAGGGTGCACCCCTAGACCAATTACGGTAGGATCTTTGGGAGCAGGACCAGGGGGTAGTAGTTTTTACGGCTGCCCAGGTGGTTACAGTGTGCAAGCCAATGGAAAAGCCCTAGTGGGAAGAACCTGATATCAGAAATTAGAGACTCCTAGCCTTATACTAGTTTTGCAGACACAGTTAAGTGAATTTAGGTTAGTCATTTAACCTAATTTAAGTTAGTCTTTGTACCTCATTTTTCATTTCTATTCATTGACAAAAATATTCAATTCTATTTTAAGTTCCTCTATGGTTAGCATAAGATAGTATATGTGAAAATAAAACATGCCAAGGTAAGTTAGTGCTTATATATTTCTTTGGACATGACAGTCCCAGAGTGGAAGAAAATTTTTCAGATCAACCTATACAGATGTTGGACAATAGGTGTGTCATAGAAAAAGCAGAGTAGAAGCAATGTCCAGTAATCCTCAGAAGGAAAGGAAGGAAGAAATATACTATGGAGGCAGTAGAGGATGCTTTTCTACACAGATTACAAAACTGCCACAAGGGCAAGGTATGATAGTGATGGGGGGAATTTTAACTTCAAGAAGTTCTGACAAAATTTCACTGGTCCTCATTTCTTCATTATTTCCCTCCCATCAACATCATCCACTGAGCATCTTCTATGTCTATCAATGGGCTTTGTTGAAGACAAGAACATAAGTATTATGATAAGTTTTTTGAGGCATTTACAGTCAGATGGTAGGAGACGAGTGAAAAAATTATGGGGATAAAATAGGAAGTGTTAAAAGTTTGTACAGATACTGTGGCATATTTCGTCTCTTGGATAATAGAGAAAGCGTTGGAGAAAATGAGTCAATAATATAAAAGAAATGAGAATACAGTAAGTCCCCTACATACAAACGAGTTCCGTTCCGAGAGCGTGTTCGTAAGTCCAGTTTGTTCATAAGTCCAACAAAGTTAGCCTAGGTACCCAACTAACACAATCAGCTACATACTGCTGCTTTTATGCTTGCCTCCAGATATTCTGGGCTTGAAATAAAGATACTGTATTACTGTACTCTACGCCAAAAGTACACAGAAAAGTACACAAAAGCACAACCACTTGTAGAGTATGCACGCATGTGACAGTGTACACCAGACACATGAACTAACTTACATGATTGGACATGCGAATGCATGTTTGCATCTTTGAAAGTTCCCAACTTGAAGGTTCGTATGTAGGGGACTTACTGTATTCAGGAAAGATAATCATGCCATTTGGGGTTTCATAATATATAAGGAAGAGACTGCCATACATATTCAAATAGAAAATGTAGGAACAGCAATTCCAAAAAATTAAGGAAAGACATGGATTATCCTTGAATAGAAACATCGAGTAAATTTCAGGAGTTCCCTAGTGGCCTAGTGGTTAGGATTTGGCTCTTTCACTGCTATGGCCTGGGTTCAATACCTGGTCAGGGAACTTAACATCAAATAAATTTTAAATTTTGTTTAGGTAGTAATGGATAGTACATGTGAGAACACATTACTCAACCTTTCTGTGTCTGTCTGTTCATCTGTGAAGTGGGTATTATAATGGTAAGCACTGCATATCTACTTTACAAGTACCCCCATATATAGTAAGAATTCTATTAATATTAATTATTATAATCATCTAAAGGAAATAATGAATCCTGCTAAGAACTCTGGGGAGTACAGATTTGCTTCCTTAAAGGAAGGAAGGAATATATTCCAAATAATAATAAAGAGTATTAATTAATTCTATAAGAATATGTATGTATGTGTGTTTGTGTGTGTTTGAAGAAGATAAAGAATAGATCGGAACATTGCTGGTGAATATCATGTAATATTAATAGAAGAAAAGGAGAATTATTCAGTTTAAATGTTTTCTCTATCAATGACAAATTTCATCAAGCTGGAAGGGGTTAATTTATCATTGTTAAGAAGTAAGCTCCAGGGCTTCCCTGGTGGCGCAGTGGTTGGGAGTCCACCTGCCGATGCAGGGGACACAGGTTCGTGCCCCGGTCTGGGAAGATCCCACATGCCACGGAGCGGCTGGGCCCGTGAGCCATGGCCTGCGCGTCCGGAGCCTGTGGCCTGCGTAACGCAAAAAAAAGAAGCTCTAGGTAGAGACAGGACTGGTGGGGAGCATCTGGTTGGTTAAATAGATCAGGACTATAAACCCAGGACAATTAGAAGGAGAAGAGAGAGCGAGAAAGAGAGAGAGAAAGCACACAAGTGAACAGGGGAGGGAGCGGGGAGGAAAGGAAGGATGTATATGTGCATGTGTGAATGATCTGAATTAATAGTATTTTGTGTAAAAACTACCAGTGCTTAAGCATAGTAGTTTTTCCGTAAATTGTATGTGAATTTGATTGAAGGCCTAAGGCTTATAATTAACCACAAACATATGAGCCAGTGGTATAATGTGATTTCCAGAAAATACTAATGCATATCTGAGCTAAATTGAGAGAAGTCCAGCACACAGATCGAGGGAGGTAGCAATCCCACCTGTATCTTGCTATTGATATGAAATCAAGATTCTGAGCCAGTTTGGGATGAAAACTTTAATAGGAATATCAACAAAGTTCACCACCAGGTTGAGGATGGTTAGGTCTCTAGAAAATCATGACTTAAGAAAAAGTTGAAGGAACTGAGGCTGCCCTGAGAGCTATCTTTAAATATTAGAGGGATCCTTTCCATAGGGGAGGGATAAATTTACTCAGAATTGCTGAGGAGGTCAGAAGGAGGAGCAGTGGAAACTCAGCCCTCAGATTAAGGAAGGACATTGTGACCTTGGTAACTGTCAATGAAACCGGCACTCTCCCAATAACAAAGAGACAAGGGGGCTTCCCTGGTGGCGCAGTGGTTGAGAGTCCGCCTGCCGATGCAGGGGACACGGGTTCGTGCCCTGGTCCGGGAAGATCCCACATGCCACGGAGCGGCTGGGCCCGTGAGCCATGGCCGCTGAGCCTGTGCGTCCGGAGCCTGTGCTCCGCAACGGGAGAGGCCACAACAGTGAGAGGCCCGTGTACCGCAAAAAAAAAAAAAAAAAAAAAAGAGACAAGGGATTCATTTAGCGGCTGAATGATCATCTGTTGCAGATTCTTGCTTTGTAGAAGATCAAGATCTGTAATGTCACTTTCAAACTCCCTGATTTTATTTTTTCCCTTGAAGTGCTGCATTAGAATTTTGTTAAACTATGGTATCAGTTTCTGTATGAGTTATTTTAAAACTATCCTCGTTTCTATAAATGATATATAAACAAATATCATGATAAGTTACAAAGTCACAATCTGTTTGTTTCAAACAATATCCAGTATCACAAAGTTTAAATTAAAAGAAGAAATTTGGAGAGTGTCTGAGGATCGTAATGTGACTTGAACGATAATAGTATGTGTTATTGCCACATACTAACTTAAGGAGAAGTAAATTATTGTAAACTTTAAACTATTATTAAAGAATGTATGCATAGCTCCTTTTTAAAATATTCTAATTTCAGTGCTTGAAGATCCAGATTTCATTGGAGAGTATTACAAATGGAAGAAAAATGAGCTAAGACGACCTAAAGAATGGGGTTTAAAGTAAGTAATTTTAACTGTCTAGAATATTATCCTATGAACTTGAAATATCTATTATTCACTTTCTACTAAATGAACTATCAGAAGAAACCCATTGGATTTCTTTTAAACATAAGAACAAAAATAAGAGGTATCATTTTGTCCTTTCACATGAACCCAGGTGGGAAACAGCTTTGCTATCTCGCGGCTGCCAAAGGTGGGGATAGAACATGAGCCACAGTGAAGGAATCCCACAATACCTTTCCTATTAATCTTCTTATTTCCATTCTTAACCTTATCAACATAGAACTTAGAAACAGGAAAAAAGAAAAACCAGCCTGTTTACATATCAGCGGTTAGTATTTCTTTCTTCTCCTGGTTCCAAACACCTTTTCCTCTTTTCACAGGTGGATTTCTCACTCAGGAACCAAATATATTAAATCTAGTGAGGAAGTCTGTAATTAAATACAAAGGTAAATTATTACAATATCTTTTGGAATGATTGACTCTTGGACCACATTAAGGAAGGGACCTTAATCTCATCTTCAGTCTCTTGACTCCTAAAGGCAGTTTTTCTGCTTCATCCTGTTAGAGCACAGATTCCATCTCAGCTCTGTGGTACTGGCTGTGTTGCAGTCGTCATTTATTCTGGAGGGCTTATTGCAAAGCATTCAGTGAACGTGCTACCACAAAGCTAGGGGAATTAAAGTTCCTATTTTTTGTATTTACGTCATTTTTATTAGCTCCTTGTTAGCATTGTGACCTCTTTTCTAGGTGAAAATAATAGGATTAATAAAAACAATGTGCTGTATTTTGAATTTGTGTAGAAATCAAGGCTCTTAAAATAGACTTTCCTATCCTTTAATATCATAGTTCAGATTGGGTTTTTTGGTTAGATATTCTTTTTTCAGTTGATTTCTGCAGCAACTTTCCTTCAAGCCAAAGGGGAGGAAAGCTTTTGCATTAGAAACTTTTCTGCTTTCAGAGTAAATTATAAGCAGTAGAAAAGTTTTTATGAAGCAGAAGTTGAAGTGTCAGCATGGTTTTTTCTTGAAGGCATGTTTCAAGTTTCATTTAAAGAAACCTACTTAGAATATAAGGTTAATTTTGCTGTGACATGACTTCCTTTTTGATTTCCTTTAACAGAACTGCTTTGTTTTATTTGTTTGATTATTGATTCATTATGTAAGGCCAGCATCCCACAGAACCCCAAAATGTAGAAAAAGTAGGACCATGTCATTTTCAACTTATCCACCCACTTCTCCATATGGCTGAAATAATTGTGAACTGTTTGAATGCTAGAACATTTTCCTAAATACATTATTTTGAAGTTATAGGTCAAATTATCATGTGCATGGTGACCCTGTCAGACTAAAACTCTCACACCTTATGCCATCTGGTGGTTGATGAGAATATATTTAGATCAGATGATAACAAAACATTAATTTAAACATTATTTAAATAAAGTGTCTAAAAGATATTACATTTATCTACATAATTTTATTACAGCATAAATATTTGAGCATGCAAAAATATAAAGTATGGTGGAATCAACTTCTTTTTAAATAATTATTAAAAGTCTCATGTTCATCAAATACATGAGGTATAACAAAGTGGTCAATTCAGAGTTTCAAGTAGGAAATGTTTGGGAATCTATGCAAGTGAGTAATTGGTCTATGTGTACATGCAATATAATACCTTTTGCATCTCTCTGTTTTTAATATTTGAAAACAGAGAAAACTTTCCTCGCGCTGAAATGTCCCCTTTAAAAAACACCCAGAAAATGCAAATTGAGAGCATTTCATCTGCAGAGCCTTCAGGAAAAAGAGAGACATATCTCTCCTGCCTCACACCCCTCCTCCTACTGTCCTCCCATCCCCTCATCAATCAAGACCCGATTCTTAAGCTACCCTAAATTCCTTTTTTTCCCCCACTATTGTTTGGGAACATAAGATCTTCTCACCACGTTGTGCTTTCTGTCAGGGATATCTTTCCCAGTAGAGTCTCAAGTTAGGATTCAGTCTGAGTTAAAAGGTGGAACATGGGGCGCTTAAATGCAGGGACACAGGAGCAAGACTCTTTGCATCTGAATCCTGGCTCTGCCAATTACCAACTCTGTGACCTCGGGCATGTTATCTGACTGCTTTGTCCCTCAGTTTCCTTATCTGTTAAATGGCAGTAATAACTCTACCCACCTCCCAAGGAGATTGTGACAATTAAATACACTATTTTATACATAAATACACTACACTACACATAAATTGCTTCAAACAGTATCTAGTACATAGGAAGTACTCGAGGTTCGCTATTATTCATGCTTTTCCTACTGTGGCCCTAGTTCAGTTCTCACAAGGAAAATCTATCTTTGAAGGCAGCATGGGAAAGGGCATGGGCTGTAGTGTCAGATAGATCTTGGAGAAATTCTTACCCTCTCTGAGCTTGTCTCCTTATCTGTTCAAAGGAGATATTACCTACCTTGCAAACTTGTTTTGTATTGGATCTCTTGAATGAGATCATATAGATATATATATATATAAACCACATAGTGTTGGCGCATGGACATTCAATAAATATTAGTTCCCAAGGAGAGGGGTGACAAAAGCCCATGTCCCCCAGTGTTTTCAGAGAATAAAAATAGAAATGTAAACAATTGTGACATTTTCTCAGTCTAGAAAACAGCACCTATCATAACCACATTTATTTTAGCCCCATTATGCCCTTGGTTCTTTTCCCTTCTCCGTCCTGTCATCTTTTCAGCCTGGCAGAGTGCTCCACAAGGAGGGCAGGAAGATCCAGCTCCACTGTGTTTTGTGGAATGGTCCATGATTCAGGCTCCCATGTCCCCCCATCCTCTCCTTCTGTAGCAGTCTGTTCCTGTCTCTTTCAGCGCCTGTGGTGGGGAGATTCATCTGTTCATGCAGAGTGACCAGGGCAGGACTGTTCTTCTAGCTTTGTATTCTCTGCACTTAGCCTGGTACCTGGCACTCAATTAGTGTTTCTTGAGTGATGCATACTTACCCTGTTTCCCCACTTAATAGGAGGATTAGATGTGAAGACAGTTACTTTTAGGAACAGTAAAATGAAGGTGCCCATTCTAATGTAGAGATTGTGGTTATACTTTGGGTATAGTCATAGAACAGTGATTGAAAACTGGAAATATAAATGACTGTCATGAATATTTTATGCAAATTCTTAAGTTTTACACATGTTTTTAGTTAGTATTAATAGGAACTCATTGGCATTATAAGCAACTCATAAATATTCATGAACTGATCATTTGGTTTGGCATTCATTTCTAAGGCCTTTTTTTTCTTTCCTATTGCCTTGCCGGTCTTTTGGCTATTCATGCAAATACTTTATTTCTACCAAGACATGGGAAAGAATATGAATCTAGAATCTAATCAATAGTTCATATTTATTTTCTCAGGAGAAAGTGAAAGATACAAAGTCAGAAAGCAGTGGAGGCTATTCTTTTGACTATCCTTACTTAAGCACATATAACACTACTTTTACATCATACTCTATACCCAGTGATTGGTAATATGGTCGTGGAAAGAACCATGCCGGTCGTCTAAGCTTTGTCAGGCAGCAAGTTATCTAAATAAAAGTTATCAATTCTGGAGAAGTTTTACATTCTATGTAGCTTCAGGAAAGAATATTGCCCTTGTCCCTACTTTGAAGTATCTATACAAAGGAAACCAGAACTAATATGGCGAAGCACCTACTGTGTGCCAGGCATTCTCCCTTCATTTCCTAACGTAATACTGGCCACACTGTGGAGTGGACAGTTATACTTCTAAGTGTAAGCACACGCCTCTAAGTGTAACCCACAAGACTATCTATCAGCCTCCTTCAAAGACACAACAAATCAACCTACACTCAAAGTCAGACCACTTCCCTTATTATACAGACATAGCTTCAAGAGAAGGTTCCTGGCCTCCCTTTTCAACTGGATTGTCAACCCTAGGTCTCTGTACAGAAATTGTGGAAAACTAGAGGTAGCTCTATCTGTAGTTTACTAATGAGAGAAACATGAGGCACAAAGAGATTAACCAACTTACCCAGTTATTGATAAACACATATTGTTTTTGAAAACTAAAACTTTATTTCCTATCTGCCATTAATATGTGCTTATTAAAAGCTTAAGTTTTTCAGGTAAATGTAAAAATATTGCCCACCCAGTTGCTAGCACAAAGTCTGCTTTTGTGGAAAAGTTTTGCAGTTTTTCAATCTTAAATTCTATTATTAAGCAATGTTATTTCCCTTTTCCTTCTATATAAAATAATTAGCATGTGTTATATCAAATACCAACATAAAATATTCTTATATTTATAAAATAAACTCTTAGTTGTACTGTGTTTTAAATTAAGGAGTTAATATATATTATTTCTAAGTTCCTGTAATGTCTGCTTTTTTTTTTTTTTAGTGTCTGATTTTTGAGTGTGTGTTTTAACTCAGATCACAAAAATATGTGATCTTCCTCTAGCATAGCTATGTTTGATTCCAATTTCTCCAATTATATAGAAAATATTTATGATGAGTACATTAACTTAATGTATGTTTATGCTATCCTTTCAGGGCTATTGAAGTTAAACATTGTTTTTGTAGGTTTACATAATTATATATTTAATGCATTTTTAAGGAGAAATGCTAGTTTTTTATTCCCCAAAGATTAAACCTTGAATGCCATCTAGTGGTTAAAGAGAGAATTGGCATTAGAATGAGCATGGGAAATGTCCCTTTTAAAATAAAGACATGCATACAGAGTGAAGTCAGAAAGAGAAAAACAAATACCGTATGCTAACACATATATATGGAATCTAAGGAAAAAAAATGGTTCTGAAGAACCTAGGGGCAGGACAGGAATAAAGACGCAGATGTAGAGAATGGAATTGAGGACACGGGGAGTGGGAAGGGTAAGCTGGGATGAAGTGAGAGTGGCATGGACGTATATACACTACCAAATGTAAAATAGATAGCTAGTGGGAAGCAGCCGCAGAGCACAGGGAGATCAGCTCGGTGCT